CGTCATTCATACACAGGGAAACACAAAACACTTCACAGTCAACATCACCCAAGGCACAAATCATCACATAAAACAAATGCCAAAATCACCATTTAAAACATAATACAAAAAATCACAGTTAATTAAAAACATTAAAATTACACAAAAATATATCCACAACCACAGTGCATTCAAAAAAAAAAAATCCTTTCAGTTGTATGCACAGGCAAACAAAACCGTCTTTAACCTAGATTTGAACACTGTCAGAGCAGAAGCCTCTCTCACATATATAGGGAGACTCTATCAGATTTTAGCTGCATAAATCTGAAACGCTGCCTCCCCATGTGTAAGAGTTATTGTTATTGTGGTGCCACCTGCATGTGAAAGCCTATTCTTGTTAGACCTCAGATGACAAGCAGGGCAGAGCCTGGTTAGTACTGCGATGGGTGTCCTTAGATAAGACACTTCACCAACATTATTAAGTTTATGTCTGGTGTGTGAGTGACTGGTTGGAAGTGGTCAGAGGGGCTGATGGCACATATGGGATTGCCTCATTTCTGTCAGACTGCCCCATGGCACCTCTAGGTACACTATAAACTTACCACCACAATGTACGGAGTGAATGAATAATGCCATGTGAAGCGTCTTTGAGTGTCCAAAGAAAGTGGTCTATAAAATCCATTCAGAAACACATTTTGCTGAACTACGCCATAGAGTAAAGGTGTATTTAAGGCTATTTTCACAGCATACCACTCTAAATAAACATTTCCGGATCATTTAAGCCACACGCAACCCACACAGCACATAAACCGCTCCAGTTAAATCTGCTTGTCAATGAAAACGCCTCTTTGTTTGTTTTGGTTTTGGGTTGAGCTGGCAAGTATAGTGTTCAGTATATTACAGCCAATATGGACATGATGAAGACTTAACATATTGTCAGCCCAGCCATAGCCACATCAGAGAGTATTTATTCGCCTTTGAACAGTGGGTTGTAAAATGGTTTTTTTTCTAATCTGTTTAGCCCCGACGTCTTCAGTCTGGAGGACAAGAGTGACCAAGCAGAGAAGAGGAAGGACAAAGCCAGGACAAAACCGTGTTCTGAAACCAGGCCACAGAGAGCTATTTTGGAAAAACATAAAAAGTCCATATACTCAGCAATAATAAAAGTAGTGTGTGGCACATGGCAAAGTGAAATCCTTGTGTTGTGGTGAGGGATACACGGTAACGTTTCTACCTGTTTGTTGTCATGGAGATGGAACCAATTGCACATGTAAAAACGAGTGGAAAAGTATTAGGTCAGATTTGTGGGATGCATGATGTTTTTTTGCTTTGAAACTTTGTACTTGAAGAAATGCCAGTATGATTACCTGCCTTTTTTGCTGTAACCTTTTTAATGTAACCTCTGCCATTCACTGCTAGTCTAGGGTTCGTTTCTATGTCTTTAGATTAATGTGCTGCAAGACACTATCATAAGAAAACTAAAAAAAAGTCAGAAAAAACATTTCCAAATAACAAACATAGAAAATAAGAAGCGTTCGCCGTGTCTATTTTTTCCCTCTCTATTTCTATGTTGTGGTATTATGTCTCCATCAATACAAAATCCTGTAGCGTCTTTCGGCTCTGCTTTTCTGTGTATTTCTGTACGTTCATGCGTTTTTCGTTGGCTGCAATCCGCCCTTGCACACTTCACTCTACCTTACTTCAAACACATGTCATTGTAATGCAAAAGGATTCTGCCATTTTGCTGTCAGGCGCCTTGGCACTTACTCCTGCCACTCCGACACTCAAATTCTCCTCCACTTTTTCGGAGGCGGCAAAGCACTCCATCGCCGCACTCTTTTTTTATATAACGACAAGTCTGGCAAGGACACATGATCGAAGATGTATTTTTTATTCTTTTCGGACAGCCGCAGTGAAAAGACCATCAGGGTCCTTTCAGAAGTGACTTGCCTTGAGCGGTGCAGCCTGCCCTCATGGAGACCTCAGTTCTCCTCAGTGACCGGTGCTCTGTCCCTCACACACACACTAACACATACACGCACACAAACACGCACACACACGCATGCGCACACACGAACACGCACACACGGAAAAGGTTCAGGTGAAGTTGATTGTTGACTTCCCCCAGGCTTTCCAAGAATGAAATCTGCTGTGATGGCTGTCTCTATGATAATGTTGATGGCAGTTGACCCTTGAATGGCCCTGCACACGCTATTCCCATTTTTTCAGTAAAATGTCGACCAGTTTTTGACTTGCACTGAAGCAGGACAGATTTAATGGTACAGTTAGACCTGTTGGGCATGTCCTTTTTCGCTGAAAAAAATACTCTCCATGTCAATTTTAATATTGAAAAGGTTCCATATTTCACTCTTCTTCATTTTTCACTGTCCATCTTAAGCACATGTGTGATAATTTGGGTGATACATCTTACAACACTCAAAACTTTTGCCATTTTTTTGCAGAAGAGATGTCATCTCAATTGAAAGAAGCTGATCCCTGGTCCTCAATGCTCCTCTGCCTGTGAACCCCCTCCGGGCCAAATATCACTGTCATGATGTTTAAAGCAGAGAAAAGCCAAAAAGCATAACATGGGACCTTTAATAGCTAGTAGTCCATAGATTGATATAAAGCACTTTAAAACGGTCTGAAATGCAAGTGATTATTCAATATGTATATGTATATATAGAACGTATTGTCATGTATTTCTGATGACTTGGCTTTCTGTACCACCATCATTCACGTTTCGCAAAGGCTTGAATGTTTTGGCTTATTTTTCCTCAACAGAATCTGTTTCAGGACTTAGCAGAACAAACAAAAGGCTGGAGCCTTTTGCTACAGGAGGCCCTGTAGCTTTGTTCTTAGTAGTAACAATCTCCACAGAGGAAAATCTAATTTCAAATTCTGCCTTTAATTTCTTTGGTGAAGAGTAAAGTTCGTCTCTGGAGGCAGGGTCTGATAGACAGGAGGATGAACAACTACTGGATTTTGATGATTCCGCTTTCACAGCTTAGGCAAATTTCATTACTAAATGAGATCTTGGAACCTTCAAAAAAGTTAAAATGGATAAAAAAAATGTATTTTTAAAATGAATGTTTGGAATTCAATCTGTTCACAATACAGATTTTATATCATGTTGCTTATATTTTATCACATGGCTGAAAAAAAACCATAATAAAATGTGTATTTTGTTGAATGTAGACCAATGTGGGAAAATTATCATTGAAGATAATTTTTTTACAGACTTTCACTTTCAAGAGAGTTTATTGTGAACTGAAAGATTTTAGAGAATTATCTTGTAAATTTGAGAACCCAAAGACAAAAACTCTTCTCTTAATGACTTGTATTCATAGTTCCTCAGACCATTTGAATTGAATTTGAGCCCTTATCACAAATGTTAATTTTGGTCTTCGACGAGCACCTGTTGTCTCACCTTTCGATGCTCTCCTGAATTTCTAGTTCTTACTACACATGTGACTGAGTTGGAACGGCCATGTGGTCTCGTCGAGATGAAGATACATTGATATGAGAACGGAAAATGCTAGGGATATGTCTTTGCCAATGATTCACCATGGCAATCTCTGAGAGGAAAATACGAAATTGCAACATTCAGATTCAAGGCAAGAGTGCTGGCCAATTTACACAACCTGTAATGTTTTATTTGCACCGTGTGGCAGGTGCCTCTGTTGGGTCAGCAGCAGTGACAGAGCAGACTCGCCCCTGCCTCTCCATACAGAGGATCCAGAGAGGGTGCTATTGGGTTCATTATGGGAGTCAGGCAACCACGGATTAATTCTGCTGCCGATAATTGGATGGCCTGTCTCTGAGCAGGGCACGGCTTATGTGTCTGGAAAGTTGGCTGTTGGGAATTGACTGGGAAAATGCAATGAAGTTTGTGAAGCAGCCTGTGTGTTCTAAGTGCCTTAAAAAGCAGTGTCATTTGCAGACTTATTCTACTGCCTTTGGATCACACTTGGATTTAAAACAAAAATGTCACTACATTTCTGGTGACATTTCTCTTTTTTTCAAATCAAGTCTGAATGTCCTGACAATTCGCAAAGAGGTGCAAAATAATGATCGGCATCTTTGTGGTTTCATAAAATCCTCTAAAAGTAAAATATCAGATGACAACTTAATGCATTTATCCTATTACGTCCTGATGCTTTGCTCTGAGTCCTCTTCTCTGTTATGAGCGTGAGGAACTATTTACATGGTTTGTAACTCCTCCTTATTGATCTTTCTGAAAATGGGAGCATATAGAGAATGACATCAATAGTGTTAAAACTCCTGTTAGATTGTTGTTTTTTTTTTTTTAGAAACATTAATAACCTTGCATTTCTGTTGTCAGTGTAGGTGTATAGTGTTCTGTGGCTGTGTGTGTGTGTGTGTGTGTGAATGTAAGTCAGTATGAAAATCTGTGTCATAAATTGAATACTAGTCATAGATCTATTATAATAACTGGATAGGATATTACTAGCTTGGAGCTGAAGGACACACACGTGCTCGGAGGATTCTCGTGGTACTGCAGACTAAACGAGACTGGATTCATGTGGATGACCAGACATTTTCCCCATAGAACTCAATGTAAACTAAAACAGCTCAACCTCAGCAGACAGAGAACCTACAGCTTTCATGTCGGATTTTGTGGAGATTTTAGTGTCCCTTGATATACTGAATTAAAGGTGAAGGTGGGGTGGCTGCCAGACGGCCAATATGGAGGCTCAGATCAGGGGGAGGAAAGGGAAAGGAGCTTCTCTTCAGCGTTAAGAAGAAGGCCCTTTATTCGTCTCACAGTGGGGGAACTTTCATTTTGATGAAAATTGCACCCCTAACATAAGTTGGAGACCGTCACAATTTGAAGTGGACAATACTTTTATCTTTTTGTTGTTATATACGTATATTCAGATTCCCCAGTTCTCTTTGACTGAGCCAAAAAAAACGCTTCAACAATATTTCCTGTATTTTTACCTGTTTCACACACACACACTAACGTCTTATTTTCATTCTCCTTTTCTGTGTTGCAGATCCCCAGCTCAAGGGTATAGTAACCAGGTTATATTGCAGGCAGGGCTACTACTTGCAAATGAACCCCGATGGCTCGCTTGATGGGACCAAGGATGACAGCAGTAATTCCTGTAAGTACCACAACAGATGGCCCTCAACGCCACCCCATTATGTGCAAATGGAAGATGATTTGATAATTAGATAGCAGCTTCTTATTTTATTATTATTATTATCAATTATAACCAGTGTAGACAAAATGGGAGCACTCCACATGAAGAGCTGCCCACTGGTTTCATTCATATGCTGTTGCACGCGAGGTGAAGTGCTCTCATCCAAGGTTAGCGTTTATTCATTCTTCAGTCTTTGGTGGAAAATGTTGTCTTGAATGAGTCATGCAGAGTGGTCGTCTCACCTCTGCAAGTGAACTGGTCTAGAAAACAGTGGGGTTAACGCACAAGAAAATGTATTATTAGCTTGTTCTGGCAGAGCTCCCTTACAGCGCTTCAGGCTTACTGGTTAATTTGATTCCAATCCTGGGTGCTAACGTCGGCATGACACTTAGAATTATGTCACCCAGTGCTGTCAGAGAAAGGAGATGTCATATTTGATTGGGTGAAAAAATCGTTTATTTAAAACTATGGCAATAATAGAAGATATAGCCCGGATGCATAGAGTAAAATTGGCTTTAGAATTGTGGATTTATCTCCCAGCGCTGGCTCCAAAGAAGGCAATCCTTTCTCAGCTCTGTCCCCGGCTTCACACCTGCCAATACCAATTACGTCCAGGGTCAACAGGGGTCTTCAAAGAGTGCTTCAAGTCACCGTTACATTCACTTAAAAGCAGAGCAGAATGTGTGTTGTGAATAAACAAGATGGAAAGGGGAGGCGACAAAGTAGAGGTACTTGACTTTCAAACCACAACAAAAATACACCATGTTAAACAGTCTGGTGTAACTGGGTCGTCGCTCTTAAAACTATCACTATTTTTTGGCATCCGTCACGTCTCTAGATCAGCTTTTTCAAACAGAAAAGTGGAAAAAAAAAAAAAGTGTCAAATATTGAATCGCTGGGGTCTTTCTTACAACTATGCAAGAAGAAAAATCTGATCATATGAGAAGCCAATGTTGTGGTATGATTTGTTTACAACAGTAAGTAATCTTTAATTATATACCGCCTTTCACAGACCAGAGTCACAAAGCGGTTTACAATTGTTTTTTTTGGGTATTTGTCCTCTCACTCCACACAGAGATGGGGGCGGGGTCGCCAGTACAGGAGGCGCACGCCAGAACTATTGTACATGTTTTTAGTGGTAGGGGAAACCGGAGTACCAGGAGGAACTCCACTCAGAAAGGCCCTGGTCCGATCACAACAGCTCATGTTTACAATATTCTCTCTGTTGGGAAAAAATAAGTATCCCATATACGTGGACATTGTAAACACATTATTTTCAAAGTAAAAGTTTAGTAGAAAAGCATAATATTTTAAGTAATACAACCATATTTTAGATATTCAGCAAGCAGTATTTCATTCACACCTTGGCACATAGACTGCAATAAAGTTTTTAGTACAAGGATATTCAAGGAAGATTCTTTATAACAGCAAAATTACAAAACATATTCAAGAGACTAAATACAAATATGTCTCTACATTAGAATTTAACTATGTGATGTTTTGTGCATTTTTGTCTTTCAGCTTTGTTCAACCTTATTCCTGTGGGCCTCCGAGTTGTTGCCATTCAGTCCGTGAAGACAGGGTTATACATCGCGATGAACGGAGAGGGCCATCTGTACACATCCGTAAGCTTTTGCCTTCATTAGCCATTAACAAACTAATAGCAAACACAATGCTGCTATAATGCTGGTTTAAGACATATGAACAAATACATCAGAGGAGAGTCACAGCTTTACAATGCCCATGGTTCAGATACTTAACACATTTGCGACTTGATAATTGCATTTCTCTGAAGGTTAGGGATCCCATTAAACAGAATCTCCTGCGCATACATCGTGGTGTGTCGCTTTATACACCCCCAGAGTTTTCCTCCATATTGGAATATCATTTATTTCTGGTGACATAAATGAGCAAAGCACATCTCCCAGTCTCATTCAGGGAAGCACTGTTACAGAAAACGCTGCAAAAATAAATGGGACGGTATGGAAAGATAAGTCCCTTTAGGCTGTTTTGAAATGTGTGCACAAGACACCGCAATATTTGAGCTGACATCTTTATTTGTCAGTCTAAAGAAATGTAGTTTTGTATCAGGATTGTGGTATTTTTATTGTGACAAAAGCTGATCAGCAGGTGATCTTTGGAATCTAACAAACTTTAACAATGTTTTTAATAATTTTCTGTTGAAAATATTTCTCTTACTACACACGTTCTTGGTGGAGGATAAGCTTCTTGTGTGCGTCCATTTCATAAAAAAGTCATTACACTGTCTGTCTCATCGGAATGAAATTATTGGAATGAATGTTGCAAGTCAGTTGCAGAGAGGAGAAGATCGGGCTGCAGCTCTTTTATTATCATGATTGTGAAAATTGTAGATTCACACTGAAGGCATCAAAACTATGAATTAACTCATTAGGAATTATGTACGTACTAAAAAAAAATAATCTTATATTCTATGTTCTTCAAAGTAGCACCTTTTTCTTTTGATAACTGCTTCGCACACTCTTGGCATTCTCTTGATGAGCTTCATGCTTAGCACTTGTTGGCCCTTTCACTCTGTGGTCCAGCTCACCCCAAAACCATCTGGATTGGGTTCAGGTCCTGTGACTGTGGAGGCCGGGTCATCTGGCCCAGCACCATCATTCTCCTTATTGGTCAAACAGCCCTTACACAGCCTGGGTCTGAATCTACTGTCAATAGTCATGAAAAGAAAGGAAACTCATTGAATGAGAAAGTGTGTCCAAACTTTTGGTCTTTACTGTATATGAAAGATAACAATCAGTGTGGAACAACATTTGAATCCTTAATTGCAAAATAAAAAGCTCTACTGTTTCATATGGATCTAATCAAGCAATGGAATTATAATCAGCATTAGTAATAAAGAGGATAAGGCCTTGCACTTATATTTGACAGACAGGCTGAAGTTTCTCAAAGTGCTAGACTAAAGTCACTATCCATTCATTAAGTACAAGCTTGAACTGCAGCCACAGCTGACAGGAGCGAGGCAGCCAGTCAGTGTCATCGGCCACTTCTGACCACCATTACTGACCCACTCACCAGCACAAAAGATTCCTACCGCTACATGTTTTGAATAGAAACCGGAGTTCCTGGAGAAAACCCACCCAGACTCAAAGAGACGTAAACTTCACACGTGTCAAAGAATCGTTTTCTCCTTATTTGTTCCCTCTAAACATAGACAATTGAATTGCTCCCCCGTGGATTCACATGGAAAGATCCTCGTGGATCTTTTCTTCCTCGGCAAAGCACAAAGAGACTTTCAGTGCTTGTGTACGTATATGAGCGTGCCTCCCAGTCAATCAGATCAATCAGCTGCTGAACATAGAGAAGGTGTGGAGCAGCTTTGTGAGACAGGAGCATCCATCACCAACACTGTCCTTATGCTCCTAATCCTCCAGGCGCTGAGCAGGAATCACCATCTCCATTTGTAACAGGGGAAGCTGGAGCGGCTCTCAGTACAATGCAGCCTTATACCTCCACAGCACTGTACCACTTAATCACAACTGGAGCTAAGCTTACAATGAAATACATTTGAGGGGGATTGGCACAGAAATCATTGTGTTTTGTTCTGTTTGTGCGCACAGTAAGGATTTACCATTTTATGCTGGCGCCATTTACTGCAGCATTTGTGTTGACCCTACTGTCACAAAACATTGATACAGACTAAGACAAAGCTACACAAAATTATTTGAACGAACACCGATTTTCAGAACTCATTGTCAGATTCTTTAGTTTAAATGTGGGAACATAGCACAATTTAGTCTAAAGAACATACAGGGTTCTGAAAGAGGAGGGCACTGTGGCGCAGGGCAGGGAATAATGCATCACAGCTGCAGAGGCGAGGACAGGTCTCATTTCAATAAGTTACTTTTTTTACATATTAATTTAGAGCTAAAGTCTTCCATTGTGCTTTATTATTGTAAGTCAAATATGTTGTTAATTTACAATATTTGTTTTTGAGGATATACTTGCTGTAGATCATATTTTTCATAAAGCCATAACAACTCTCGACCCAAAGCATAAAAGTGACTCACAGGACTCTTTCTTACTCAAAATGTTTTATATTAAGCTAAAAAAGCATGCCAGAGTCGGATTTGTTTCTAAAATGTTACATTTACAAGTCTCTCATTAGGGACAACATTAATGATGATTAATTATGGGAAAATGTTACCTAAGCTAAAGCTTTAATGAGACAAAGGGGATAAGGGACATTTGTGGCGACATGCTTTGAGTAGGTTGCAGGAAATGGCTTGTAAAAGACTGAAGTATGTGAGGTCCATGCTGCTACACCGGTGGTACACAGTGATCTTGAAGTGTCTAATGAACGCAATAGTTTTAAGTACATGTCCGCCCCCTCAGGTCTCTGTGATAGCAGCCACGTAGCAAGCAATGTTCTCCATCCTCCTCTCTGCATCCACAGGTACAAGCACTCCTCCAATTACCCAATGTTCTCTTACAAATGGCTCGGCTTTTTCTACCATTAAGGTGTTTTTTGATTATAGTGCACATGCTTTTAAGAAGTGTGTTTGTGAATGTCACACAAGAGTTCCTGTATTTTCTTTTGAAACTGTGCTGCTGCTAAATAAGTGCACTTTTCTCTCCTCCTTTTTGTTCTCCAAACATGCAACATACAACCGAGTTCTCTTAAATGCAACTGAAAACAACATCAGTTGTATTAGTGTACGAGTAAACCATATGGACCTGTGATATTTGAAGATGGCAGCGTCTGAATTCAGAAAAACAATCTTCTGTCTCATTCCTTGTCCCTTGTCTTTTCAAATTGACCTTTTACAGCACAGAGTAGCTCCAGGTTTTGTCAAAAGAAATGTAAGACCTTTTAAGACTTTTTAAAATGCCTCTTTGGTTAAATGTAAAAGCAAACCAATCATGTGCATGTGATGTAGAATGTCACGAAGATAAGAAAGGAAGCATTTTTGGAACAATTCAAATGCTGCTTGTGTTTGTTTCTCTTTGTGTTGATGTTGATTAGCAGCATCATTTGATTAAAACATAAATTAAGATTATAAAATGTATCAAGGGATGAAACTTCTACAAAAGATCTAGTTTATTAGAAATCCAATCTAACAATAAATGAGGCACTTTGCAGCCTCATTGTATTATAGACCTTTAGTAAGTCCTGCTCTACTCTTGCACTGATCCCTTGTGGATTTTGTTTTTACAAACATTCCAAATTCCTTGTTTCTTAACAAGGCTACTTTTTAAAGTTATTACAAAAAAAACCCTTACATCAATCTGAAATTGAACTGCATCTTCTGCAAACACATGTTGGTCCATATAAACAGCTGCCAAGGAGAATCAAAACAGCTTTGTGAAAATGTCCGGGAAGCCGTCAGCCTTCTCTCAGTGCATCATATTTCTTTATGTCAGCTTCCCAAAGGCATGTGGCTCAAAAAGCAGCGATACCATCAAAGTGCCTGCTCAGACAAAAACAGCGGCCAATAAAGCGAGAGTCCAGGCCTTTACACTCTTTTCAATCTGCCCCCTTTGTATTCAAGCCAATAAAATCCTGGCTAATTTCTGCTCCAGGCTGCTTTCAGAAAAAAAAAGAAGCTTTTTTGAGAATTGTAATGAAGGGGCAGGAAATCTCACCACCAGCTTGTGTAGTCTCCAGATAAATGTGTTGGATCTTGTTATGCAAAACAGACAAATTGAATCAGATAAAACACAAAATCCTCAATTATACTGCTGGGATTTGGATATGGAAACTCCCCGAAGCAAACTAGGAAGTTGGAGATTGTACAGTGCGAATGATGAAACCGTGGTGACACTAAATGTAATTCCTGTGAACTCATTCTCACTGTATCGTACCCTACATCTCAGTACAGTAAAGGAAATGGTTAATGTTCAAAATCTGTAACTTGCACCAATGGAAAACCACAAATTCATTCAGAATTCAGGACATATTTGCTTAATGTTTGTCAAAGAAGAATTGTGGATCTACGTATTGTAAAGAGTCTAAATGAGTCACAAATCAGGAAGTGTGCTGCTATTTTAATGGAGCCATTTGATTGTAAAAAAAATTATCTCATAAGATCTCTGGAGCTAAGCAGGGAAGCGCTTGGTTAGTGCTATGATGGAAGACCTCTGCGAACAGGTGCTTTAGCGGGCCGTGCAAAATGTGTCCTTAGGCAAGAAACTTCAACCATATTTCTTAATACTAGTCTAGTGTGTGGGTAAGTGAGTGAGCAAAGAGCTGTCCTTGGATGTCATTGAGAGCACTAATGAAAATACATTATTTCACGGCTTTTTGATCATATTTATTTGTTTCCTTTTACATACACTTGTTCACACTTGTTTTTAGAGGAATCATGCATGTTTGAATAATTTATTTCGTACAATCGTATTGCTATGTTCTCCCCTGACTCCTCTCACAATGGCCACCGAGACCCGGCAACCGTTTTTACTTTTCCTGAAAATGTGTAACCTTTTTCTGTCAGGGGTTGGCAAATTTCCTGAAGAGCATGCCGCACATTGCACATGTTTTACAATAGTTTACTCATCACTCTTACATTACACCAAAGCAAACATGAAAAGAAAGGAATGCAGTGTCCTTAGCTTGATTTTTTTGGGACTATTTTTGGCAATGGAA